AAGTGTTATGCCATTATCTGTGAGCTCTAAATTAAATATGGGTAAATTAAAAGCTACCAATATTACTCTGCAAATGGCTGATCGTTCCCTTAAATATCCTTTAGGTGTTTTAGAGGATGTACCTGTTAGAGTAGGTAAATTTTATATACCTGTTGATTTTGTTGTTCTTGATATGGAGGAAGATTTGCAAATTCCGATTATTTTGGGCAGACCATTCCTTCATACGGCAGGGGCAATAATAGATGTGAAAAGTGGCAAACTTACGTTATGTGTAGGGGATGAAAATATTATTTTTAATTTATATAATGCCCCCAAAAGCCCCATGTTGGAGAAAAAGTGCTATAGTATTGATGTGGTTGATGTATATAATTTTTCTAATAAGCCCCAAGCTCTCGTTAGAGATCCCTTGGAGGCGGTATCTTGTGTTGCATCTTCCACAGGAAAAACCACTACATGGAAGGATGAAGTAGATGCTATAGAAAGGGCTCTAAATTGTGTAGGGCTTGGGTTTGACGAGGAACAAGTGGAGAAAAAGGAACAAATTGAGAAAAATCGGACTCAAAGTGCTGTAGGGCGCCCGACCGGGCGACCCCTCGCCCGACCGGGCGCGAGAGGAAGTCCGTATACGAGCATACTCGCCCGACCGAGCGAGATCCCGCCCGACCGGGTGCGAGAGAAAAGAGGATTTTCGACCAAAATTCTTCCAAAGGTCGAAAAAAGTGTCCAACTCGCCCGAAGGCGCGCCCGACCGGGCACGAGAGCGCGACAGCAAAACCGGCCAACTTCGAAACGCCATAACTTTTGCGTTCTTTACGGAATTTCGCGTGTGACCTATCGTTGGAAAGCTCTTCAAGTCTACTTTCCAATGCAATTGGAATCACTGCATTATCATTTGTATAAAAAAAGTAATGATCAAAATAGTGAAGCTGACTTGTTTTTACCTCTTTTCTTACTAACATTTTGTTTCTTTCTTGTCCAGAGTTGTACCAAGGTGATGCATTCCGATGCTTGGGATGGTGGTGGATACTATTTTGATGATGAGGGGTAGTCGCTTGGGTTACTTTCGTCCCTTTGAGCCAATGAGGACATTGTCTGGTTTGGCTTGGGGGGATTTTCTTGTATATACAAGTTCTCTTTCTTCCCCTTTCTCTTTATTCTCTTTGGTGTGTTTAGTTTAGTTTTATTGCTTTCTAGGTTAAATTTATTGCTTTGAAAAAAAATACATCCAAAAATACGTTCCAATGAATTATAAATCATGCTTCCTTGTGCCCCATACATGAAAACGGTTTTGATTTTTGGTATATGATGATGAGTATTGTGGATAGGTTAGCCATGATTTGATGTTTGATTGCTTTGATGTCTTAACATGAGTCAATTTTGTCCAACTGCTTGTGAATATAGTGCTTGACTAGTTGATTTGGTTAGGAATGTGTGTTAGTTCCTGGTATGTCAATGAAGTTGAGTATTGGTTTATAACTTTGAGTAATGTTTGTATGACTCATTATTATGCACATTGAGGAGGACGAAGGCATATTGTTCTTTTAGGTGGCCTTCAGAATTATTAGATACATTTGTTCCCTTCTTGCTACCCATGTTGTTGCTTGTGCCCTTTTATTGTTTATTAGCCACATAACAAGCCTATTTAAGCCCCATTGGTTACTAGTCCCAAGCTTGGCTTGGGGGAGCTAATAGTGAGTGAGGTGAGGAGTTGTAGTGTGCACATAATTTGCATAGTTTTGGGTGGGCTTGAGAAGTTTTTATTTGTTCTTGTTTTTGTGGATTGGAAAACTTAGAAAAATTGTTGTTCTAAAGTGAAAAAGTTCCGATGTGAGATAAAAGAAGAAAAAAAGAGCAAAGAAAAATTGTTTGATGTTCAAATGTTCTATCGAAGGTTTCTAGAAAAAGATCAAAAAAAAAAAAAGAGTTCAAGGTTTGTTATCACTTGAGTTTTATGTTGTATATATATATGAGTGAATTTGTAAGTATGATTGAAAGAAATAAGTGTTGGATGTTTGGTGAATTTTTGGTAGAGTTGAGTTGTGTTGGAGATGATTTGGTCATTATTTATTTTTGACCTTGGTTTTATTTGTTAGGATTTTAGCTCCCTTAAGCGTAGCTTTACTCTCACATTTTCCCAAATATTTCCTACCCTTTACCTAAGCCTTACATTACAAGTTTTGAAGACCTTCCGACCTTTGTGCATAGAGTTGTGTGAATGTGGAATTAGTTGTTTATCAATGCAAAGAATGATTTGATGTATTTCGAGTCGACTAGTAGGTTGAGTGCATGTCTTTTAAACACACGAGTGTTGTGAGTTTGGGAGGGCATTGTTCACATTAAAGGGGTTGGATGGAGAGCGATCGAATACATTTTATATCCGCCACATAAATGAGAGTTGAGTGTGTGAGCACTAGTCTTGATTTCTATATGCTCTTGTGGTTTGCTCTATTTGACAATTGTTAGGAAGGATGAGTAGTTAGATGAATTTGATTGGTTAATTTTGATGCATATTTGTTGGATTTGCCCTGAATCGGTTATGTTCGATTTTGATTGATTAATGGGGTGAAGTATGATTTGTTTATCCATTGATGATCTCTTTGCTTTGGGACAAGCAAAGGTTTGTCTTGGGGGAGTTTGATGTATTCATTTTACATAGTATTTTATCCCCGTCCCGTGATCATAGTTAGGAGTATTTTTGGCTCTTTAGAGCCAATTTTATTACTAATATGTGTTTTCTAGTGTTTTCGTAGCTGTGGTATTATTCTACAGGAAACTGCAGATTTGGAACATTTTCCGGCACTTAGTGGAGCCACCGCGAGCATTGGAGACGAGACGCATTTCTATGATCGTATTCCGAAGCCCAGGACCGTAATTGAAGAAATCAATCCGGTGATTAAGGGCTCAATGAGGAGATTTGGAGCTTGGGCAATTCGATCCAAGAAGGATGACGAATTGGGCTAAGGTAACAAGGCCCAAAGGACGAAGAAGAGTAAGCCCAAGCATCCGCCCGACCGGGTAGTGCCCTCGCCCTGAGGCGCGCCCGGCCGGGCGAGAGGAGAAGGCCCGGGCATGCTTCGCCCGGATGCGCGCCCCACCGGGCGCGAGCAAGCAATACTGAAGAAAGAAGGCGCGCCCGACCGGGCGGTGCTTCGCCCGACCGGGCGCGCGTTTTTATTAGGCGTTTTTAATTATTTTACCTTTTTCTTTGTTTAGGATTTTTAGTTTAGTATAAATACTTTTGGGTGGCCAAAGTTTAGACTCGTCTTGGTGACGGACCACTTTTCTTTACCTTTTCCTTTCTCTCTCTCAACTTTCTCTCTCTCTACTTTTAACTCTCTTTCTCTCTCTACTTTACTCCCTTTTGACACTTAATTTATGCAACTCGTTATTCCTTTAATTTTGGTAACACTTTCTCCCCTCTTTACTTTCAGTAATTTTATTGCTTTGATTATGTCTTGCATTATTGCTTTGATTAGTGTAGATTTAATTATGTGTGAGTAGGTTTATTTCTAGGGTTATGGGGATCCATGAATAATACGAAGGGGTAATTTATTATTGTTGTTTATTGATGATTGATTAATTTCCTATTGATTGATTTAATACTATGCAATTAGATTTGGCCAGGTTTAATTGTATGAGTTATGCAATATTGATTCGAGATTCGAGAGATGAGAATTGATGTTTAGGCTTGGTTTCAATAGGCATGTTAATCTATTAATGGTTAGGTCGATATTCGAGAGATGAGATTTAATACCAGTAGATTAATTATGTGATTATAATACGTAGCGACAGCCCTTTATAATCTGGTTAATTTATGCATTGATAATTGATCGTATGTTTTACCCTGGAGTATTATTTATTGGTGAACCTATACCCTAGAGCTTTTTATTATTGCTTATTCCTTTGATCTATTTGCTTATTTTTATTATTAGTTCAATTCATATAAATACAAATTGGTTACTTGATAATTTAGTTTACATTAATTAATTAGGAGTAAAAGAACATTGTTTCCCTGTGGATTCGACCCTACTTCCCTATCTACTTTAGTTAGAGGACTTAGGAATTATTTTTTATTAGGTGATACGACTTAATCCTGTCAAATTCAGTGTTGTTGTGGCAAGTTAAAGAGGTCACTTGAGATGGGTTTTGTAGAGCTCTCAATATGCGGGGAGTCTCACATCATGCATCAAGTAATTAAGCCTCTGTTGATTGCCTCTCTTTCCTTTAAGTTTCATACTCTAATAATTTATCATTTACTCATAGCCTGCACCATGTTGCAAATATTAGATATTATAGTGTGATAAAAAAACATGGAAAAATATTGTAGCTTATTCAGTAATAGAGGCATAGGAGGATTTAGGATATCTTCTAATTGAGAGATGCATGCTCCAAGAAATGCATCTTAGAAGTTTGCTCCATTCAATGATCAATAGTCTTTGAGTAGGGTGTTTCTTGATAATCAGTGTTTTGCGTTTTTTTTTTTACTTTTTACTTTTTTATTTATGTATCCTGATTACGTTGATATAATTTCTGCTTTCTAATTCATTTCTGTTTTGCTTGTTCAGCTTTTAAGTGGTAGTCATACCTGTTGCCTATTGGTTATCTGCAGTCCAGGAGTTGTCTTATTGCCTATACTTGCCTCTTTGGATTATTTTCCCTCTTGCAGGTCATCTTTTATTGATTAAAGAGTCTTTCCGGCCTGATCATGCCAAGCTTACTCCTCTAACAAAAGATCATCGCCAATCGGAACCAAGTTTAGAAACAGATTTGTGTGTGACCTTGTATTTTATTTTATATATTTTTTTTGGACGAAAATTGTAATATTGTAGCCTTTTTTAATGAAAATATGTAACTTTATATATATGTTAGTGTTTCTATATCAATTTAAGTAAAAAAAAATGCAACAAATTAAAAATTATTTTTTATTTTTTTGGGGTATTTTTGGCACCGGTTTTGATGAACCAGAACCGGTGCTAAAAGTTTTTTTATTAATTTTTTGGGCCATTTTTCGCACCGGTTCACATCAAGAACCGGTGCTAAAAGGTTTTTATTTTTATTTTTTGGGACATTTTTCGCACAGGCTCACAACAAGAACCGGTGCAAAATCTAAGTTTTCGCACCGGTGCGAAATCTTTTGGTTTTTGGCATCCCCCAAATAAGGACCGGTTCAAAATCGGTGCGAAATGGGGGTTTTGAACCGGTGCCCATTTGTATTTTTCGCCTAGTGTTTAGCCTCATCTCTTCCGATGTTTTCAAAACTAGTTTTTCTACATAGGCCTTTAGTCAACGGATCCGCAATGTTCTTTTCGGACTTAACATAGTCCAATGATATCACTCCTTCAGACAACAAATTTCTGACGGCCTTATGCCTCAGACGAATGTGTCTCTTCTTCCCATTATAGGCATGGTTGTGTGCAATAGCAATCGCAGCTTGCGAATCACAATGAAGTGCAAATGAAGGAGCTGGCTTTCCCCACAGTGGAATATCAACAAGCATGTTCCTCAACCATTCTGCCTCATGACCTGCCAATTCAAGAGCAATAAACTCAGATTCCATAGTAGACATAGTAGTACAAGATTGCTTACAAGATTTCCAGGATACGGCTCCACCCCCGGGTGAGGACATAGCCACTGGTGGAGTTAACTTCATCATTGTTGGATACCCAGTTGGCATCACAAAAACCCTCCAAAACTCCAGGAAATTTGGAGTAGTGCAAACCCCAATCCATGGTTCCCTTAAGGTACCTAAGCAACCTCCTTAGAGCAATCCAATCACACTTAGGGTTATGAGTGTACTTGCTCAACCTACTAACAGAATAAGCAATGTCAGGTCTAGTGTAGTTCATAAGAAACATAACACTACCAATAATTCTAGCATATTCAGACTGATCAACTGGATCACCATTATTTTTCTTTAGGTGGAAACTCGGGTCATAAGGAGTCTTAACTAGATTGACATTAAATGAGTCAAACTTTTATTGAAGTTTTTCAACATAGTGTAATTGATTAAGACATATGCCATTTGGGGTCCTTTTGATTTTTACTCCCAAAATCACATCTGCCTCACCCATGTGTTTCATTTCAAAATTCGAACTCAAAAACTGTTTTGTCTCATTTACTTGATCCAAGTCAGTCCCAAAAATTAACATGTCATCCACATAAAGACAAATAATCACACAACCAAGACCATCATGCTTAAAATAAACACAAGAATCACCTTCATTAACATGAAAACCATTACCATTCATAGTCTTATCGAATTTGTCATGCCATTGCTTTGGAGCTTGCTTAAACCCATATAATGACTTTACTAACTTGCAAACCTTGTTCTCTTCGCCCAGAACAACGAATCCTTCAGGTTGGACCATGTAAATCTCCTCATCAAAGTCACCATTCAAAAATGCAGTTTTGACATCCATTTGGTGAACAACAAGATAAAAAATGCAAGCAAGAGCAATTAAATTCCTAAGGTTGCAATTTTAGTGACAGGGGAGTAAGTATCAAAATAATCAATGCCAAACTTTTGAGTAAAACCCCTTACCACTATCCTTTCCTTATACTTGTCTATGGATCCATCGACTTTCAATTTTTTCCTAAAGATCCATTAACAAGTAATGGGCTTACAACCTCTAGGAAATTCAACCAATTCCCAAGTGTTATTATTGAGAATTGATATTGCCTCATCATAGGTTTTTGGATCATCTTCCAAAACAAAGATATGCACAAGATCATCATCAATTAAGGAAGATTCCGATAAAAAGGAAGTAATAAAATCAAGACCAAAATTGTTGTCCTTTTGTGCCCTTTTGCTTCTCCTTGGCTCCAAAACAGAATCATCGTTAGTAATAGGAGCATTAGCAATAGGTAAATTAATAGAACTACTAGCAGGTAATTCACTATCATTAGGGGAAGCCATTTTCCAAGGAAAAATGTTCCCAAAGAATTCTGCATCTCCTGCCTCAATGATATGGCCACCTACATAAGAGTTGTTAGTACCATTAACAAAGAAACGATAAGCTGCACTTTGATAAGCATAGCTGTTGGGTGTCTGCTACTGGATGCTGGTTAGGGTGTTTCTATGGTGTACAGGCCGCTGTTGGTTCCTGCTATTGCAAGCTTCTGTTGGTGCTGTTGTTCGTTTTTTGGTTGTTGTTCTGCTTATGCTGTTGGCTGCTTTGTCTGCTCTGTCTGTGCCCCAGGTCTTAGCTGCTGCTTCTGCTCTCTTTTTTGGTTTGGTTCAAACACAAAATCAAACCTCTCGGCTGGCTTCTTCTTAACCTCAGCCGGCTTTTCAACAACAGTCGCATCTAACAAGCAAAAATACAACAAATTAAAATTAGCATATTGAGATTATCATCTGACATCATAAACACAAAATAAACCAAGACAAATAAACCAAATTGTCATTTTTATATGAATTAAGGGATAATTAAGTCATACCTGCTGAGTGCTGACATGTTAAGTTCCTCTTCCTCCACTACATTCATGAGTTCCTCACCGTTCAGTGGTTCACTATGCGAACATGCAACTTCAAGTTCAAGATCTTGATCAATAATTCCTTCAATTTCTCATGATAATATCCTTATGTGATGTTATCAATATCCCTTGTGTCTCCAATTTCTTCATTATTTTCTGCTTACATATATGAGGAAAAATACATCAAAGACTAATTTTTTTTCTCAACAAGAAATATATGGATATTTGTTGTAGGATGATTCTGCAATTCGGGTGCGCACAGGTACAACTTAAGACATAATTAACAAAGATACAGGAAGTAGAAAACTTCACCTAAAGAGTTAGATTAGAATGATCAACTGTTTTAATTAATTACTTACTGTGCCAATAACTTTGACCCTAGCTGACCTTTTCTTACTCAGGCAAAGGTAAGCAACTGAACCTATGTTGAGATGATGTAAATATTTGATTCAGAGAACAAGGGCAGAAAGAGAGGGTTTCATAATCAGGGTTAAGGAGAAGATAGGATATAAAAGCTTAAGAATTGCTTTTGAAACTGCTTCTGCAATTTCTTATCTGCATTCAGAGTTTTCAACACCAATTGACCACAGAGACATTAAATCTGACAACATTCTATTGGATGATAAGTTTGGACCAAAAATGTGGGATTTTGGGTTTTCTAAAGTAGTTTTTGTGGAACAGACTCATGTAACAACTCGTGTGTAATGGATCGGTGGAAGCAGCCTTTGAAATCAAAGCTTCCACCTTTCCTTGCTATTTGTTGGTGTTATTCTGTTCTAGGCTTGTTTAGAACATAGTGAGTGAGTTCAGGTGGTGAGAGCAGTGGTCACTGGTCAATCCATTGAATTGTGTCCAAGGAACGTTTGGCTATTTTGATCCTAGATATTTCTATAAGAGCCAATATGCTAAATAGAGTAATGTTTATAGCTGCGGAGTTATTTTGGTCAAGCTTCTAACAAGATACAAAACCAACCTGCAACTGCCCCCTCCCTGCTCCACCTGCCCCGGCCCCCCGCTACACCTTCCCCCTCCCTCCTGCAACTACCCCCTTGTTTTATTGATAATAATTTTACTTAAGAAAACTAAATAGCAGGACATGCAAATTATTATCAGAAGATTGAACAGATTATACACAAAAAATATAATCAAAGTAATTACTTTTTTCATAAAATCGAATTAATAAAACGAAATCAGGTAAGCTAACATACGAAATATTGAAAATAAAAGAACAAAAATTAGTTGATCCATACAAAAATTGAAGCAGAATATTGCAAAAATAAATCAAAATTAGAGAACAATTCTATACAAGTGTCGCAACTAGAATCGAACAAAATTCAATTACTACCACATACGTATTGGAAAATTAAGTTAAAATCACCATTGCTTCTTATAATAAACACATAAATACGAAAAAAACGAATAATTAATAGATCTAACCTTGAAATGTTGTTGAATAACTGATCTTGCAAGCGTTGGCTGAATCTTGCAATTAAGGATCGTTCGAAGGGTTTTGAATTTTCAGCAAACAAGGTTTCTGATTTTGAGGGGAATTTTATGGTTTGTTCTTTCTAATTTTTGAACCTTGAAATTGTGAAATTGGAATTTGGGGAAACCATAGTAGATCTAAACACAAATCAAAACACATAAAACCCAGAACCGCAAAAGGAGAAGCAGACCCGAATGAAGAATCCGAATGGAGAATTAGAATGAAGAATTCGAATGGAGAATGAGCTAGCTTTAATTTACAGATGAGGGAGAGAATTTACCTGAAATGCACCGGAATTTCGTCAAAACGAACAACCCACCGGAACAGACCGGGCCAAAGCACGACGACGGAAAACACCAGAGCACGGCGACGGAATAACGAAAGGAGGTGGTCGGTGGTAGAGAACGAAGGATAGAGAAAAGGAAAGGGAAAGAGATGGAGGAAAGAGAAAGAAAGAAGACAGAAATAGAAAGAAAGAAATAAAGCCCCGATTTTTTTTTTTACAAAAGCATTCGAACCGGTGCGATTAACTCATTTTTTGCACTGGTTTGGTTAGAACCGGTGCGAAAACTCTTTCCCTCAATCCTGCCTGTTTTTTTTTTGCACCAATTTTTAAAAACCGGTGCGCATTTTGCGGTGCCCATTTAAGTTTTTCTACTAGTGAACTTAGACAAATCAGGAATCAGAAATTTGGAAGCCATAATCATCTTTTAGATTGTTATACTGTAAACAATAAAACAGAAATTACTTATCTCTTGATGCGTGAACCAAAACTGACAATAGCCGTGTCGTGGCAAACCACTGACCTAAAAGATGATTCCGCGCTCCTCCCGGTGTAGTAACAAGAAGCGGTCGCCCTCCAAGATAAGCACGGCGCCGGAATTTATGTGCACTCACAAACCCGACTGGAATTTAGAATACTTGCCCAGAAAAATAAAGAGCAGTATTTAGTATTTTTAGAGAAGAGAGAGAGGTACGAATTGTTGTATGTTTTGGCTGAAGAAGAACCGAGTATAAATAGGCAGCAAGGAGGAAACAACTAGCAAAAAATAAGGGAAGAATCTAGTCAAAAAACCGTCCAGATTAACTCGGTTAGTCACGAGCAAAAATCAAGAGTGTAACAGTCAGCTATAATCAAGGAATTAATGGCTGAATAAATTCCTAACAATCAGAAAATCCCAACAGTAAAAAACGGCTAGATTAATTAAGGAATTAATCACTGATTCCCAACAGTTAGAAAAAGCCAAAGCCGGAATAAATTACGAAATATTCTGTCAAATAAAATTTCTCCAAAAAGATAAATGGGACCCACGCCCACGCATCGCATTCCCCAAGACCCCAAGTCCCGAGGCCCGAGCCGAACCTGGCCCGACTCGGTGCGCGCGCGTGTGTGGTATTACACCCACCTCCAAGTCACTCAACTAAGTAGTACTAACATACTACAATATATAAACAAGGCAAAACTTTTTCCCCCAACCAACGTGGGACTTTTTCCTTTTCATTTGTGAGTCTCTCTCTCTCTCTCTCTTGTTTTATTCCAACACTCTTATTTTATATCAAGAACTTCCAATAGAATCCACATTGACTCCTAGCATTGCGATTTGGACATGAGTTTAAGAAAAGCACGCATGAGGGAGCGGAAGGGGCTTGAATGCAGCTCGTTTCAAAGAGCAAGGGGATAGAAGGAAGGAAGAGCACTGAAGTGGTTCTCTTTACCACTGGCGACCAAGCAGAACGAACTTCTTTTCTGGCGGCGAGAAGGATGATGAATTGAGGAAGAAGGTGAATTGGGTGCGTGTTAGAGGGAGAAGAGGAGGAGAATGAAATTTCAAAGGAGCCTTAAATTGTACTCCCTCCGTCCATTAACGATAGTCCCTTTTGGTGAAATTTCACGAAAATTAAGAAACTTTAAAAAGTAGTAGTAAAAATACATTGGAAAGATAAATTTGGGTATGCAAAAAAGTAGAGAGAAAATAATAAAAGTACTACTATATGAAATTTTAAATTTACATGGTGAATCTAAATTTGCAAAAATATTGTTGAAAATCGAAGGAATTTCGGTAAAAAATTATTATTAATGGCTGTTGAAAAAAGTAAATGGGGTAAACATTTTAGGACTAAAATTTGACCAAAAGGGACTAACATTAAGGGACGGAGGGAGTATAATTTTGGGCGACTTATAAAATTAAGTGCTTCGGTTAAAAAAAACTGGAGTATTATTATGGCTCCAGTTTTTATAAAGCCCGGAGTATATTAAAGTTAACGACGCTCCAGGTTTCTTTTTTTAATCAGAGTCATGTTTGTATGTATTTTCATTTAAGCACGAAATTGATCTTAATACGCTCCGTTTTTGTAAATAACCGGAGCGTTTTTATGGAGTGTTGTACGTCTTCCATCCTTCGAAGTTAGCTAGCTTGATTCCACGTGATATACTAAGCGTTGCAGCTCCCTACAGTCAGATATCTGCTCCCTGCAATAAGATATTACACTTGTTAGTCCTATTCATGTCATAAATTCTAATGAAAATGGACAATTTTGTAAAGTGCATGCATAAACCTTACCAATGATCTTCCAAAGTTGGCCAGGCCACAACTGTTTTGTCGTGGGAAGGATATGATGTCAAAATCTGACCGTCGGTTCCCTTGTGCAACACCAAGCTCTCTGCATAAGCATCTAAGATTACCTCACTTTCATAGGGTGATCTCAAAATTTGTTTTTGCTGGGTAGAAAATTTGTAAGAAAACACTTTCTTGGTGTCCTGAAAGATAAATGTATCACTGTCCCGTTCATTATAGAAAATCCTTGAATGTATATATTGCAAATCGCAAATTTTATCTAATGCCTCATGAGTGGTATCTCTTGAAAGCCATGGCCTCCACGACGGCATCTTTCTTCTATCCTTGTCCATAACCCATACACAAAAACATTTAGAAGACACGCTCAAAATAGCTAATTTCTCACAAAGAAGGAAAATAAACCTAGTGACTTCTCCTTGCATGACCTCCACAGGCAACTCTTGGAAGATAAAATCCTCCAAATTAAAATCAAAGGAGACAAGATTAGTCTTCGTAATCCAGTACCAAGCCCCTTGATAGAATACACGATCGGTTAGAGATGGTGGGAAGAGGACATCATTCCTCTTTATTACAGAACTCCACCTATGACCTCGAGATGAATAAATTGCAATTGAAACATAACTTCCACCAAGAAGAGAACTCCCTGGATGACATTTAAAGGCAGCCACCTTAAAATTATTGTCTCCATCAGAAGAAGGATATCCCAGCATATATGTCAATCGATGCTGTGGCTCGGAGTTCAAAGGACACGAGGGGAGTAACAAGGACTTTTGAATAGAAGGGTTCCATACTCTTAAAATACTCTTGTCCCCAAACAACTTCTGAGACATTAACATTAACCCATTACATGTTCCATAAAATTCATATGACCCATACATTTTACAAAGATGATTAATTATCTCAAATGTATCGACGTTTCGAAGAGTTACTATACATTGATCGCTGGTCAAACCATTGTTTTCCGAATGAATGTAGATTAGATGAGGGGTTTTACGAATATTCGGATTTAGCCTAAAATCTTGGGAATCGATTACAGAGCACCACAGCTTACAAACACACCTTATTTGTAGTTGGGTTTTCACCGGTAGCCTTGCCAATATCTCGTCCCTTAGTAATTCTATTGGTATGTCAATATCTTTGGCAATTAATTGTTCGTCCGACATCCTCATCTTCTTGCTCTCCATGTTAAACTTCCTACAAAAATAAATTGCTAAGCTTTTGTAGATTTGTAATTGTTTTGTATTTATGAAGTATAATAAACTTTAATATACATAACTGGAAAGACTCCTAAATTAAAGGCACTTAAATATTCACACATGCCGCCTAACAAGCGTATATATAGAATACATAGACCAGTAGGGTTAGGAATTTAGGATACTTTACATAAATACTCTGCTATAATGCTAGAGTAATCCTTACGTGTATTTGTTTCATCTTTTTTCATCTCATATTTATATAATATTCTTACTATCAAATTAATATTTTATTAGATATACTCTTATTATTTTTTGAGAAAAGATATACTCTTATTATTGTTTAAAAATAAAAAAAATAAAAAGATATACTTTATTATTTTTTAAAATTGCAACCCCAATATCACGTAGGTAACAATTATGCAAGTCAATTTAGGATAAATTTGTTTAAAAAATTTGAGATATTTGGATAAGAATAAAAATGCTATAGATATTTAGTTAAAAATAAAAATTCTATTAGAGTATATGATTCATCCCTTCAAATTGAGATTGTGATTTAATTAGGGAAATTATTTTGAATATTAAAAGCATCATTTCGATAGTGTAGGTTGTAATTGCATTTTATCTAATTTATTGTATGTTGTTGATACAGGGTGTCCTGTTCCTTGTGAGGGTTTCACTGGTTCTTCGGCTACGAATGGCCTGAAACAGGTGGTTCATAGGTACTACGCTTCAAATTGCCTTGAATTTAATAATTTTGGCATGAGTATGTGTGCTATACTGCTATGTGTTGTTGTTGTGCCCATTCATTTTTCTAAGTTTGGTTAAGTGAGTTTTTTGTGGTCTTTAATCTATAAAAATTCAAGCCCTTAATATAAATGAATCTTGCTGAATATTCATGGTTGAAAATTAGTAACTTGAGATTATCTAGACCTCAATTCCTACTTAGATATAACGTATGTGTACTATGTGTTGTTGTGGTATCCATTGATTTATGTGAGTTTGGTTAATTTTGAGTTTTTTTTTAGTTTGTAATCTACAAAAACACAAGTCCTTAATATAATTGAATCTTAATAAATGCTTATGGTTGATAATTAACTTGAGATTTTTTATTTTATTTTTTTTGAATAAATTCGTAACTTGAGATTATTTAGACCTCAATTCCTAACTTAAATATATTGTATAAATTACCCTTTTGAACAAATCTATCCTTTCCCTATGATCTCATCCAGCATTTTAATTTATTTTTTTTTTTTTTTTTTTTTTGGGGTGTGATTTGTTTGCACAAGGAAAGTAAAGAAGCTTAACAGCGTTTGTGAAGGTTATACCGAGCCCAACGTGACCAACTGTGATGGGAGCTATACCGACACTTTCTAGGGTTTTTTTTTTATTTTTATTTTTTTTTACCATAATCTGCTGCAATAAAATGATATAATGTGATAGAATAAAATTTAGTTTGTATCTATAAATTAAAAGGATTAATATTCCACAGAACATTCACCTATTTATTTTTTATCTTTTTTTTTAATATCGAAAATGAGCATTTGTAACCAACAATTGATATGTCCGTTACAAATAAATGTCAGTCACAAATGGGTACGTATTTGTAACGAACATATTAAATGTCCGTTACAAATACATAATTATTTGTAACTGACAATTGAAATGTTAGTTACAAATAGGTACCTATTTGTAACGGACAATGCCCGTTACAAATGAAAGGACTATTTGTAACCCCAATACTTGTAACGGCCAATGTTGGTTACAAATAGCCTGTTTTTGTTAGTTACAAATAGCGTTTTTTCTACTAGTGGGAGTATTTTGATGAAGTAAAATTTATCACCCAAAGCCCCTTTTCACTTCATATATTACTATAGACCTGGCCCGAAAAAAAAATAAGTTAAAGTTTCTGATTTTAAATTTTAGGAAAATTCTCAATGGTAGACATATACAAATGCAGATTCTCAATGGTAGCCAAATTTTTTCAATAATCTCCTAAATAGCATTAGTATTTCAATTAGTCTCTAATATAGCTATGTTTAAGTAAACATGACCAAAATAACCTAAAATCACTAACCATAGTTAAATAAATTTCCCTTCTAAAGAACTGTAAACACGATTTCCCCCCTAAAATATTAGGTTATGTGAAATTTAATGAGAATTCTAAAGTCAAAGATCCATAATTTCCCACATGACTTCACAAGAAAATCTTTTTAAAAAGCCATTAAAATATGGGTAGGTAAGCAACAGATGATTACAAAGTTTCCGGAGCTGCATACACCTATTATTTAAAGTTCTGTAAGCTATTATAGGTTAGATAGAACCTACAATTAAGGACACACAAATACTCAATTCATAATTAAGTAAAATTGAAGAACATATAACATATCATATAAGCCCCTGTTGAATTTAAGATAACATCCTACTTCATTTTGATTTACATTCAAAAGAGCAGATTTTGCACATTAGATATTACCAACATTAATCAATTATAAAACAGGGAAAGGAAGCATAACAATTTTAATCCATAAAATTTTGGAAAAAAAGAAATTGAAAATTAGGGTAAAGAAAAGATGAATTACCTTCCAAGTGTTGATATTTAGCATCTTTGGCAGATTTGGATTAATGGTTTTGATTTTCGATCAGTTGAACGTCCCTCGGAATTCAATGGAGAATAGTTCAAACGTCCCCAATGAATGATCAGTGAGGGTACTTGGGTTTGCATTTACTCAATTAAAAGGGGGCACTTAAGTAAATTACATATTATTTTTTTGACAAAAAAGTAAATTATATACTTATTTAACTATGTTAGATTTTTTTTTTATTATTATTTTTTTTGAAAGATATGGTTGATGATTCTAGGTTTCAGGTTTACTAAACATGAAAGTATCTATAACTATTATTAAAACAAAATATTGTTGACGTCAACACTGTCCACAGGGCTAGCCCCGGTTGATCAGTCTGATTAATAAGAAAAAGTTAATCAGGACTTATGTGGGCCACGCTTTGCTACAAGAAATATTATTATAATGTTGTGTACGACTGATCCTCCATATTTCAAGTGCCATAGACGACTAGCAGAAGAACACCACTAAAATGTAGAACATATTTCCTGTAACGAGTCCATTAAGAAGAAAGGTAATTTATTTGTTAATTCCAACTGAATTTACTATAATCACCCACCATTACCATTTTTTAAATTGGGAATAATTACTGTTTATCAACAAACCAATTATTCATATACAGATTCAATTGCAATTAAAAAACAAGAAAGTCAAATTGCCATGGTATACAACTTTTTCGTAAACAGATTCAATTGCAATTAAAAAACAATAATAGTCAAATTGCCATGTATATAACTTATTATCTCATTCACTGTAAATTCGTATTCGTTAAAAAGCATAATTCATCTATCTCCTGCAGCATAACTGAACTTCTTTGCCACCTGATTTCAGTGAGTTGTTACTCAAACTTACCCTCTCATTTCGCCTCGTCACTTACTCAACTTCTTAAGGTTCGAACACTTGACCTCTTAGAAGAAAGGATATTGATTAATAACCACCTAGGCTAATTGTCAATTATGCTTTAACCTTGCACAATAAATAATATTATACTACAGAGTATTAAAAACACATACTACATACAAACTATTAGATGCTGTTAAAAAAATTAGCAGTTGAACAACTATAAAGTATTAACCCAAGGCAACGCCCGAGCTATTCACTAGTTTATCCTTAAAAAATGAAATAATTTTAAGTAGCACACTAATAAATAGACTCCTGCATTGAAATATGTATTAGGCGACGTTAATAAGTATTATATCATAATTAAAATCAAAAAATTTTAAAGTACAAATATTTTTGTACAATGTGCATAATTCTTATTTATATTTCTCTATTTTTTAAAAAATGTACAAATTATAAATATAGATTTTATTTAAATCGTGCATCGCACGGGTTCTAACCTAGTTAGAGAATAATTAAAATCCAATAATAAGAATAATAACTATATACTAAAAGACACACTAGCAATGACACGTGTCATCGTCTGGTGTGTCCTTAAATATTTTTTTATTTTATTTTCTTTTATTTCCTTGAAGAAAATATTCTTTTATGTAAAGTTTAATGAGGTAAAAAAGTTTATTAGAATGTAAATAACTTTAATTGTAAGAAAATAATTATTATCTAGATCTTTAAATATAGAAAGAATAAAATAGAATAATTTCTTTAGGAAAAATATCATATACGTAGTAGATTATCAACATAAGATTTTTATTACTTATTTTTGTTAAGTAAAGTACCTTGATAACCGATATTTGCATAAGAAAATCAATCAATAAATATATAATTTATTGATTAATAATTCTATTAATTATTATATAAAATATTACCAAATATAATTTAAAATATATAGATATCTAATTAGAGTTCATATCAAGAGAAAAGTTGAATAAGAAATAATATGTTGTCGGAATGATATGTAATGATATCATTTTAGGTTGCACAATTTTGGTTTAAATAATAGAGTGACTTTAATATGTGTACAAAGAAAATTTATTCTCAAGATTAGTACATAACACAAGAAAAATAACATTTGATCTTCCAAACAAAAAGAATGATTGAGTCGCGAGTTCGACTCTCGTTCTATCCATGCTCAGCAGTCCTTGTCCAGCCCCTTCAACCCTTAGTTAATCAGCAATCTCGCGGTACAGGCTGTTAAAATTAGGTCCGCTTGTCTAGGGCTCGATCTTGGTACGAGTCCATAACGATCAAAGTCGAATCATGAGCCAATTTACTAAAATTATCGAACTTACTTTTCATTGATGTATCCTGCATTTTTGAAATGAAGTCTACTAAATAGATCCTTTGTAAACTTCTCCCCCGTGGGGTTGGGAGGTTACGTTCCTTCTTAATGTAGCTAATGTGGGAAATTATATTTTCTAGCAAAAAAAAGACGAGTCTCCCCGCATGCGGCTCACGCCATTCGAGGTGGCCCAGCCTAGCGTTCCTACAGACCTGTAGGCAAGCACCACCCGACGAAGGGGGGACAGGGAAAGCTACAGGCCTAAACCCTTCGGCCCTTCTTTCTAAAAGGGGTCGCCCGGGGCACTTTTTCTTTTCATTTCGTCGTTGCTTGTCCCGTTAGGCCGAAGTGTTTGGCCTTTTCTTCTCCGCGCCCGCTCACACTTCACTGACCTATCTTGTGGGTATACATAGCGAAGATGCGGGCAAAATGCCTCGATGCGCTATAGTCACTACTTTGACTTTTTGGTCGTAATCTGTTCGACCAGACCAACCAAGCAAGAAAACGACTTTAGTGACTAACTAAAACGGCTTTCGCGCTAGCTCACCTGTTGCTTTTTCTTCTCATTTTTTCGTAATTTATCGGAGCGGGTATTTTTTTAGATGTGAAACTTGCTCAAAATTCTCCCCAAGTAGGATTTGAACCTACGACCAGTCAGTTAACAGCCGACCGCTCTACCACTGAGCTACTGAGGATTAAGCGGAGATTGATCAGACAAAGGTCGAGTAGCTGCCGTTACTTCCTGGTCGGGAGTCGGTCCCACAAGTGGCCGATCATCGATCCCCTCCTAGGAGGAGGTTCCTTGTTGGTCCTATTTTCATTCCGAGAGGGGAAGTGGACTCGTTCGCTATGCTCAAATGCTTAACTTTACAGTACATATTTAGCTAATCGATTTTTTCATGACTATGTTTCATTTTAGTAAATGTTTCGGTAGTTTAATTCACACTAATTTTTGACAATTTTTTTCATTGACTAAAACAGTTCTAAATTGATAATAACACAGAAAATTACCGTGCATGATACAGGACCTAAACTAGTACTAATGTTAATTAGGAGATTATTAAAGAAATTTTGTTATGCCCATTTTTAAAAATTGTGGTAGTTATTTTTCAAATAACTATTGCAATATTTCGCTTTGATTTCCGTTTTTTTCATTTGTTCTTCAACATCATATTTTACCAAAACTTATGTTCAAGATCCATTTTCTCCACAACTTTCTTTTTATCTCCAAACTTTAAAACCGGCCTTTTTATGTAAGTAGAGACGATTGAGGATGTGGCCCATCGTTGAAGTTTTTTTTTTTTACAAAGACAACTTCATAAATAAAAGCTATATTACAATCTAAGAGCGCTGAAAGAAACCAAAAACAACCTAACACGAACAACAAAGGATATAACCTTGTGTAACACGAATAACACACCTAAACAAACCCACATACAACTGCCACTGACCAATGGAGGAAATACGAAGAGGACGAAAGTACCACAAAAGTATTGTGGAACACCAAATACTACGGAGCCTGATCAACCAAGAAAAACTTACCACATCCAACATGTGGACCGAGAGATGATCAAGTAACTGAAACATTCGAGATGGACTGGACATGCAGAATAACACCATTGAAGAAACCCTAAACTGGCATTGACACCGGAAAATGAATGCACCCTATTGCTGAAGAAAGGACCTTTGACAACATTTCACTCCTAGGGATCGAAAATCATAGCCGCATCCTAGGAGTCCAGGAACAAACCCAATAGAGGCATATGCTTGAATGACTCTACCATGAACCGTGCATTCCAACGCAGGTTCTCGTCCTGCAACTCTACCAACAAAGAGTGCAAGAAAATGGAGGACTTTGCTTACCCCAAACATTGATGATGGGGAGCCTCCTACAAGATTTTGATTTACAACGATGACTGACTTTGTCATCACCAATACCAACAACAAAAGGATGATAGCAATTGTATGAATGCCCATATCATCCCACAACCAAGCAACCAAGGATAGCAAACAAACCTCTTTCCTCAACACCACTCTTCCCTTGCAATCTCCAAATGCAAGGGAAATCTTCCAATTGCATAGGTAACTCCACCCCCTGGAAAATAGAACAAGAAAAACCACCCAAACTCCGGAAGAAGGGAATCACAGAACCAAATCGGAAACTCCCCTTCACCCAAAAATATTTAACTACTAGGGTAACATAGTCACATCCCGAAAAGGCAACCAAAAGGACCACCAACCCAACTAGCTAGCAAGGGATTGTTTAACTTTACAACCCCTATAACCAACCAACAAGGCTCCAAGGGCAACAACAACACTTCGTGAACCTCCATAACTAAAACTACCCTATGAAACTCTAACTCATGACCAAGCAGAGAAAGAGAATTATTAAGAACCAACAACCAAAACAACAAATTACACAAGGATAACATAATTAAACTAAGGCAAAACAATAACAACAAACTAACAACTACTAAGTACTAACCAAGGCAAAGAATACAAGCACACTAACAGAAAGAAATTCGTGGGTCAACCAGAAAAAGCAACGAGAACCAAATTAAACCTCACCGGCAGAAACCGACCTAACACCAAGAACAATTGTCACGGCCAACGCAAGAACCACCCCACTGAACCGAACCTTGGAAAAGCGAGGAAATTCTAACCTTAACTTTACCTTTATCGTCGGATTAACCGAATTCCTTTCGACGGCGGTGTTAAAAGTAGCCTTTGGTCCTTGTTTCGCTGAGCAGAACACTTGACGAGATACCACAATTAATGAACCGCCGAAGAGGATGAAGAGTAAACGGTTATGCAAATCCCCTGTTTTCTTCACCAAGCTAAGAGACCACTATAAAAGAAAACTAAATAGAAATGAAAGGATTGCACTCGCCGGCGACGGCTAGGAATTCGGTTATGCAAATCCCCTATTTTCTTCACTTTTTTTTGGGCATCGTTGAAGTTATTAATAAAAAAAAAAAAAATATAGCCTTATTCTCCAAATAATAGGGCCGGCCACTTGAAAAAGTGATTATCACTCGTGATTATCCACAAAAATTTGTAATTACGGTCAGTACTTTTTCTCTCAATAGTCAGATAAGCCTTACTCATATAGAGTACTCCATGGTTCATGATCATATAGGATTATAGGTTCATCCTTCAGCTTAGTTGTTATTGTGCTAAATTTAATAATAATAATAATATATATATATAAATAGTCAGATCACGAGATATCGACACTTGGCATTCCAGTTATTTGCCAAGCGTCACGCCACATAGAAAACAAATAAGTATTATTGTGACACATATGATGAGTAAGCGATTTTTGGATAGATTTTTTAAGATAAAATTGTTGTATAGAGCCCGTACCAGCCGGCCAAGGCGTTGGATTCCTCCTCCAAACGGGGTTATCAAAATTGATATAGTTACCTTATTTTTGTGTATAATAACATTTATGTAAATGTGGTCGAAATTGATATAGTTACCTTATTTTTGTTTATAGTGACCTTTATGTAAATGTGGTAAAAATTAATATAATTACCCTATTTTTGTATATAGTGATCTCTAAGTAAATATTGTAAAAATTGATATAATTACCTTATTTCTATATATAGTGATCTCGGTGTAAATGTCATTATATATAATTAATATAACTTGATATAATTACCTTATTTTTGTATATAATGACCTCTGGGTTGTTTCACAGCATCAGATCATCTAGTGAACATTCAATGGCTAAGATTTCTTGTTTTTAGTTTTCACCATAAGCTCTGTTTTCAGCAGAACTTATATATATACATACATATATACATATATACATATACATATATACATACATATATACATATACATATATACATACATATATACATATATATATATATATATATATATATATATATATATATATATATATATATATATTTTCTAATCTGTATTTTATATGAATCATACATATGATAAAAGATAATCAAGAGACAATTAGTGCAAAATACAAACAATTAAATTTATCAACATATTCTTTTCGATATCTACGTGTTATAGGATTTATTAATCACAAATTTTTATAGGTGGCCGGCCACATCGTGTGGCCGAGGTTACTTAAGGGGTTCAGTCAAAGGTTACTTGAGTGGCTCGATCAGGGGTTACTCGAGTGTTACTTGAATGGTTCGGTCAGGGGTTACTCGAGTGTTACTTGAGTGGTTCGGTCAGGGGTTACTCGAGGGATTACTTGGTTATGGGTTACTCGATGGGTTACTCGGTGAGGAGTTACTTGAGGGGTTCTCAGGCCAGAATTACTCGAGGGGATACTTAGTCAGGGATTACTTGAGGGGTTACTCGGTTAGTGGTTACTCTTGTATTAGCTGGTCACACGATGTGGTCAGCTACACGGATAAGCTCCCTTAATTAATAACTTTTGGAGTTTGGCCTAGGAATGTTGCATGCTTTACTGTAAGTCTGTAATAATTCAATTAATTAGTTGTCCATTTTATAGTATATCTGTATATATTAGATTGCAGCACTTTAGCTTTAATGTTTTCCATGTACAAATTTTAAGCTTTAATGTTTTCCATGTACAAATTTTATCAGTAATCTATTTTATAATTTATTTTTAAATATTTTTTATCCAATAAAAGTTTAATGTAATGATAAAATATGAATTCTGAAAATAAAGTGTATTGCAACTATTACGCTAGGAAATAGGTACAATAGCGTAGAGGTTATCGAAGAGATAAATGTAGTATTTCCTCAAAAAAAAAAAAAGACAAATGTAGTACACAACACATATATTATACATAATGCGACATAAATTGAGTTACTACCTCCAATTTCACATTATGTGCAACAATTAGGTATCTTTTGTGAGATATAAAAAATTATTGCATATAATATAAAGCGGAGGTAGTAATTAGATTTAACATAATACAAGAGGCCTAGCTATCTGCTCCAAGCCTATTTCCTTGAAGGGGAGAATGTTTTCATAGTTAGATTTATTTTTCATACATATTATATATTTGACATCATTTATTTATCGATCAGACTCGTACCATAGTTCAAACAATAGTATGTATGCAGTAGCATTTTGCAACCCCAACATGTGCACCAATAGATGAACCACGAAAACAATGAAGATTAAAAATATGGAGCGAGCCTTTAAGAACAGCAACAAGATTTTTAACGAAAACGTGGACCAAAACGAAGGAACCGTAGTTTTAAATTGATAGTTTTTTCTCCATGGATTGATCAACCCTTTCGTGTCAAGGACACCGTAACATTGATGAACACGTTCTTCTCTGTGGCCATCGCGGCTTGGACAATTTCCATATATCTCTTGAACAACTCTTCAATTATGGCTTCTCCAAAATGATTTACCAGTAAGGGCTCCACCACGGACCTCATGCATTTAACAAAGTCATAGTGAGTAAACGCCGTCGTAGGTAAATCATTCTTATAGTAATGTTCGTTTGCTTCCCAACTGATTTCGGAAACATCAACTTGATTGAGTATAAAAGATCTTTCTCGCTCTATTATAAAACCTATTTCTTCTGCTGATGGAGTGTATTGAGGTATATTAAATGTATGTAGCTTTTCTTCCTCTATGAAACCCTACGTAAATTCAATTCATAGTTAAAATATACGAAGTACAATTAGTCACTCAATCGATCAAGGCCTTATTTGTCAACCTATGAAAAATATAAAATTGATATTACCTCTAGAACCATATCATTGAGGACAGTAGCGAGAAGCTCCCATTCGTAACTAGATTCCTTACTATATTTTTCAATTGTCGTCCTTCCTAACATTGTAAGGACCATAATTCCTCCGGGTACTACTTCTTCGGACCGACACCTTAGGAACATCGAAAAGTCCTTTTCAAATTGGTCATAATAAGCTTCTGTCACATTTGGAGGGCTTGTACTTGCTATGTAGATATTTTCCTTGTTGTCTTCTATTCCTGCTGGTACCTGTTGCACCCATTCAAAAGCCATTATGCTCATCAATTCAAGTACTTGCTAAATGATTTTGACCATTCAAAGCATCGAGTCATTTACTTTCGTGGACACGTCAATTATATAATTTATCAGGTTCTTTATAGTTGCAATAGTTTGATTGACACGTACATCTCCACATACCTTAAATGATGACGCCCTTTCAAGTAGAGATATCTTTAAGAAAGATTCCTTAAGAGGGAGATGTCAATATATTCAAATGATTCATAATACATAAATGGATTTTCTAATATGTGTCCATGAGCATATGACAAGATAGAATAATAATCCATATAATTATATTAATTAACAAATACTCCGTATAATGAGACAATTTCATAGTTAATTACATTAACTAAATGATTTTAATATTTTCCCTTTAGGGTTCACCATTCTCTTATTTTCATCCTTTTTTCATAGGATTTTTTTCTTTAAATTTTGTAATTTAATATATATATGTTGTCTATGGGCACACATTAGACAAACCTTTATGGGTTATAGATGTACTGTGACCAGTATTTCATTTTTTATGATTAAAGGGTGTTTGGTAGATAATTTATTAGGCCAAATTAAATTAGTTGATTCAAAGTGGATTGACCACACTACAATAAGCTAATTGGATTGTTTAGTGGCCTAGTAAGCTTATTCAAAGAGTTGATTCCACCAAATAAGCTCATTGGCAATAAGCAGCTTATAGAAGCTTTTTCATGAGCTTATTCAAGTATATCTAAAGGTGAAATGACAATTATACCATCACCTTTTACGTGTACAAATAAAGACCAACACAAAAATTAAAATCATTTTGAAGATATATTTAAAGATTGCAAAATCACCTGAGAAAGCCACATGAGGCTATAAGAAGAATGAACAAAATGCAAGTGATTGGTAGGGAATAGCCTTCCATAGAAAGAGCCAGGAACACCATTCACAAAACAATGCCCAAAAATATTACGCCCAATTTGCATTTTCAGGCTATCCTCAAAGCTTGCTAATGATCTAAAGATTGAGTTGAAATCATTTCCTGGAAGATCATTCAAGTAGACTTGATACTCTTGGCTCCCTTTCCCGAGCTCTCGACGAGCATCTTCTATTGTTTCTATGAGCTCCGAGACCACTCCCAAGGTGTTGAGCTCAGCGGAGGAACAGCCCAAGTCAGCTATGCATAAGGTTGTTGGTTGTTCCTTGGAATAGAACTCCTTTATGGCTTTTTCTTTTATGGATTTTGTCAATAATAGCACCTGTTTCTGTTGCATGAAAATTGGACTTCTATATTAGTAGCTAGTTAGTGTGTACGTAGTTGGTTGATTACTAAATCTTTATTTGCTTGTAGAAGTTAGAAAAGAAAAAATAATACCACAATTTAAATGTGTGCTACTATATGTCTATATTAATCTAGCATTATTCGTGTTTATATGGTGTAGAAGAAATCATGAATTTGCATTTTTTATCATCCAATCGTCTGATTGAGCACAAAACTTTAAATCGATTTTTCTAACGAGTACTCATAAAGGCTATCACATTCCAAAACTAATACTAATCAACAGTATTAATGGATCGGATGATATATTCTTGATTAAAACTTGATCTAATTGTGCATGCATGTAGTTGACATTCAATTCAAATCACTAAGTTTATGTGCTACGTAGTAATTTGAATTGTCATGAAACCATGTGCCACCTCTCTTAATTAATTATCAAGTATAAATTTAATTTCTTACTCCTCCATCATTCATATAATTATTATTACATCCGATAAATTAACAATGAAAGTCGTCTTTGTACCTAATATATGAAGACATATACGGAGAACATATTTCTTCCATATGATAAAATCATGTATAAAATAAATGAAAATTTGTAAAAAGTGAGTAGCTATAAGGAAAAAAAAGGTGAAACAAAAACAAAAGAAAACCAAGAGTTATAAAGCCTATAGCAGGTCATTTATATTGAGATCGTCCATAGAATCTACCTGAATGTAGGACGTTTTTACGTAACTGGTTTCATCAGTCCCCTCCTTCATACGAAGAACTTGCTTTACCTCAAATGCCATCACCAAAATTTGGTCACACTATCGCTCACTCCTCCCTTAGCTTGCTTGGTTTTTTTTATCTAAAATTTCTTTACAATTAAGTAAAACAACCTTTGATGCAATAAGCTAGGCTTGTAATTCCCTATTTATAGAAAAAAAAATTATATATTTAATACTTGCATTGAGTGCATCGTACCACTCAGCTCCACATAAGCACCATAATAAAGTAAGACTAAACGCCGAAGTCTAATTAAATAATCTATTTGTGTTCTCATTTACCCTTTTTTTTTTTTTTTTTTGATAGAGTGTTCTCATTTACCTAAAGTTACATTTGTTTTCATCTTGGAAAAATAGCAAGGTATCTTTTTTCTTTTGATGTGCTATAACGTAGTTTATGGAACACGTTGTATACGTAGTAATACGGTACAATTGTTCTGTAATTATTACATAATAAATTATAAAGCAAAACATTATAAAGACATCTAGACAACTTGGTCAAATAATAACATGAATTGATGGATTATAGCATGGACTTATTGGACTAATGGTCTATAATACAAGTAGAAGTTCATACAATCGTACTGCAATAATAGATTCATGAACTGATGGATTATAGCATGGTTTAATGGACTATAAATCTATAATACAAGTAGAAGTTCGTACAATCATACTGCAATAAATTATTATGTAAATTAAATTAAAGGGATTATTTACATTTAGTACCATGTCTACTCTACTATTAAGACATCAACACAACTTGGTCTCTAATATAAATTCTTAAATAGACATGGTTCACATTAATTTATTGTGAACCACTATTATAAGGACACTATGGTCACTATATAATTAAAAAAAAAAAAGGTTGATATGTTAAAATAAAGGTTATTATGCTTTAAAATAGAAGTCCTTGTGTTAGTATAAAGATCATAAGAGGTTAATTTTTTTTTTTTAAAAATGAATGTGTTTTATACTAATCAATATGAATAATAAAGATCACTCTATTTAACATAGCATCGATTGACATATATGTGCTTCAGCTTCAATTCACAATAATATTAAAGGTCACGCGAGTTTAAATAAAGGTTAAAATTAGGATCACTATGTTCAATATAACGTTATTTACGCGCATATAGATCACAATAATTTTATTGTGTTGATGGATAATATGTGACCCAATTGATAATGATTTGATATATTATTTGGTATGGTTCATAAATAATTTATTTGTGTTCCCGTTTATCTATATACATGGTTGCCATTTTACTAACGTAACTATATATATTTTGTTTGTGCTTGTCATCCTGTAAGGATAGCAAGGTATCTTTTGATATGTTAGAAGTTTATGGAACACATCTTCATATACTAATCAATAAACTGCCTGGGCCACATCTGTCTGTCCACTTCATACAATCAAGGAGATTCCACCTCAAAATCATATGGCAATGAGGGAGTATTCCCTTAAATTTATAAAGTAGACACAATTTTCTTGTTTTTTCAATGTGATACACTTCCCAATAATTTTACACTCTTTCAATGTGGTCATGTGGGATAATACTTTCACTTACATGTGGGTTTGCTCATGTGCTCAACATATACTTAGTATTATATAATATTTGTATTGTGATTATTATATAAAAGGAAATTTTGTATATAACCACCTTTTAAATCTTGTTTTTTTTTGCATATAACCACCTTTTAAAAAAAATGTTGCAAAAGGCCACTAATTTTAAAAATTTTGTTGCAACTTACCACCAGTTCAATGTAGAACAGTTGGTAGGTTTGGCTAAAAAGTGGTAAGTTGCAACAAAATTTTTAAAACTGGTGGTCTTTTGCAACATTTTTTTTAAAAGGTGATTATATACAAAAAAAAATAAAAATAGGTGGTTTTATGCAAAATTTCCTATATAAAATAAAGCAACAATTTGCATATAATATAAAGTATATTCTACTAATCTACTATGAAGACATCTAGACAACTTGGTCATTAAAATACCATAGAATAGCATGGACGGAAGGATTATATGAAAAAAAAAAAAGGATATTATGATATAATTACGTTGTACATAATTCATGTGATTATGTCAGGCAAACCTTCGACTAAAGTGAATTCAAAATTTAAGGAAAACTACCCAATGATATTAAAGCCAACAGGCCATTTTATTTATTAATTAAAGAATCTTTCACATGACGACTTATGTTACGTTGATGTCATAGCGTTACGTCAACTCACTCATTAAATTAAAATAAAATAAATATGAAATACTCGCTTAATTAACTTTGTATACGAGTACTTCTTAGAGGTGTTAATTTGAATGACTAGTTCAGAATCAGTTAGGTCAGGTCGGTTCAACTCTATAAAATTTGAATCGTGTTGAATTATTATGGTCATATGAGTCAAAATTTGAATCAGATGTTTTTTAAATTGGGCCAGTTCGAATCGAGTTACTTCTATTTTTACTATTAAAGCTTAATTCTTCGTAAAATTAAAAAAAAAAAAAAAGGTTATAGATATACTACGTATTAGTGTATTACTTGAGCTGAATATAAAACTTTGATCAATGAGCGAGGTTTTGCGCTCCAATTGTTATAACCTAAAACTTAGAGTTGATTATGATATAAACGCATAGTGCTTATAGTAAAACCTTATAGTAAAACCTTAGAGTTGTGTTGCGCATGTCATCGTCTGCGTATAAAATTTAAATCAATGCAACACTACCTCCGTTCCAACCATTTTACCCTTAATATTTATATATGGTCAAAGACTCAAAGGCAAAGCTAAAGTATACACTCACATTGTAATTTATTTACTATTTTTTTTTTAATAGTGTGTATGTGAATATGTGATCGATCCAATTAGAGACGCATCCAAGTACGTGCGTAGTACTCACTCTGCAAGAGATAATATAGTCTTATGGGATCTTGTTGGGTCAAATTTTGACCATGAATTTTCGTTATTCTACAAGAGATAATATAGTTTTATGAGATCTTGTTTGATTCGTCTCATTGTATATTTTATTAATATCAACTTTTTATAATATTAACGTATATAAAAATAGAGATATAAACATTTTAACACGTATCATGAAGACCATTAAAAGTCAAATGGAGCAAAAAAATAGGGATAGAGGGAGTATGTATTATCAAAATATATCAATTTTTCATATATTTTACGTGTATGTAATCATAAACATATTATTGCAACTTGCAAGTCTAAAAAACACATTAGAAATCAAGGTAGTGCTTAAATTATAAAAAGAAAGAAAGAAAGAAAGAAACACGTGTATATTAAAAGAGATCTGACAACATTTCGTGAATGTAATCAAAATACTCTCTTCGTTTTCAAATGCTCTTCCCATTTGGATTGTGCTGTTTGTCAATGTAAAATTTTGACTATAAAAATATCATTAATAAGTTGCTTATTAGTAAAAAAAAATAAAATAATTGAATATTAATAAACTATTCATTACGGCTAATAAAATAAGACCCGACATGACTATGTTATGTCTTATATATTAAAAGTGATTTAGAATATTCTCCCACCTAATGAATAGTGTCAAAATAACAAATGGGAAGAACATTTGGATATGAAGGGAGTATCAAATAGTAGAGAGTCAGACTCCAAGTGTCAAATAATTTAGATGAAGATTTAAGTATTTAACCTCATTGGGTTCGCTTGGTATCGTTGTTGTTTTCTATTTTTTTGTTTTTCAACATCATATGATATATGTCATATAATGAATCAAAAATTAGTCAATCTTATTAAAATTAAGATAATTATGATAATTAGGTTTTTTGTTTGGAAAAAAAAAAACAAAAAAAAAAAACAGAAAACTGAAAAAAAATATTATGTTAAACAAGCCCAAGGTATCACTGCACGTTTATTTTTAATATTTGGTCTAAGTAAATAAAATCGCTAAGTTTGGTATATACTCGTGCTGTACCAAAAAACCAATACCATGGGTCCATCGTCACTTTTGTAAATAATATGAACTATATAAGATAGTAAAGATACCATTAAGTACATAAATAAGTACTGTGTGTATTATATTACCTTCTTATAATATAATTACGTCATGATATATTTCTAGTAGTACAAATAGAATTTTATGGACTAAGTAAATTTCAATGATATTAATGTGATATCTGATAGGCACATTAAGACTTTAATGATACCATTTATGTTTCTAATGATACACTAAATATATCATTAAATTTTAAAGTTATATAGAAAATGACCAACATACCCCGGTCTGTATAATGCTCGTACAGCACGGGTATGTACGCTGATCACTCGAATAAAACTAATTCACTCTCTAAACCCTACTTGTATGTTCTCACAGCTTGTGTAGTATAATTTGAACACCATGTTGTGGCTGTAGAAATATGACAGTCATGGGTGCATGAACATAGTTCGGCGAAAGCTCAAAGGAAAAGCGCTGTAGAATCATTGATAATGCCATTTTAGCTTCAATCATAGCAAAATTTTCCCCAATACATTTTCTTGGTCCCCAACCAAAGGGAAAGAATGAGTTACTTCCCCCTGTTGCCTTAAAAATTCCTTCGGAAAATCGATCTGGCTTGAAGTCATCCGCATCATCACCCCAGGATTTCTTGTCTCGCTGAGCAAGAAGTACTGGGAAAGTAACTATTGCCCCTGCAGGAAGCGATAGTTTTCCTAGTTTTGTGTCTTTGTAAATCCTCCGGTTTAGTTGGATTGCTGGTGGATATAACCTCAATACCTCGTACAGAATCAGGCTCATCTAAAGGAAACTAAACAACATTATTAAGTTACAGAACAGCATATATGTGCTGTGACATATGCAAGAAAAAATAACAAACAAAAAAAAAAACAGAGGTTTACGTGGTTTGTAATAACAGGACCTTGTATGTGCTATGTCACGTGTAGGGGGAAGACATATTCTAACGATATGAAAACATGAGATATGAATATCAGTGAATGTAATATTCTATATTTACTTGAACCTCAAAATGCTGTAATGACCAAGAAACGACTTACTGTCTTCAAATGACTTAGACCTTTAAAGTCTGGCACACTAAATCCAAATGTTTGCAACACTTCTTCCCGTGCTCGTGCTTGCCAATCTTGATGCTTGCTCAATAAAATCAATGTCCAAACTAGTAGTACTGAAGTAGTCTCTTGTCCAGCAAAGTAGAATAGTTTACATTCGTCCATCACTTCCTGAAGATTCATTTCAAGCTGTTGATTCTTGACACTGCCAACAGCATTTTGTGTCTCTTTCTGATTGGAATCCATGAGTGTTCCCAATAGGTCAAATTTTGGTGGATCTCCAGCTTCAATTTCCCGCTTCCTCTTGTTAATAACTCGTGTTAGTAACGTGTGTATTTGATCTTCGACTTTCTTCAACCTCCTATTATTCGCTGTTGGAACGTACCTACACATAAGAAGCATGCAGGCCACAATCATGAAAATTCTATGGTAGTCATCCTTAAAATGATTGTCATTATACTAATTTTCTTAACAGGTAGTGCTAGTGTTAAAAATTAGGACGGAGTATATGTGAATAATACCGGAGTCCTGGGATGTATACTGACTGCAGAGTACTAAGAGCCATGACAGTCATCTCCTTGAGAAGTTCGAATATTTGTTGTCCTTCCTCATAGCTACTACCAAATGCTGCTCTAGAGATCACATCAGCCGAAAGTGTAGTAAGATATGGCCACGCATCTAGTTCATTAGAATCCTCTTCATCTAAAATCTTCTCCCATTTAGTGATCATCTCCACACTACCATCATAGAATGCAGGCAACACAAGCTATAACAAACACCAACAAAATTTCGAACAAAACAAACACCAACATCATCGCCTAGCAATTAGGAGAATGTATAAATCATAAACGATAATCAAAATGAAATTATAAAAACGTTTCATTTATTTAAATACAGAAGGAGTATACCTTTAACTTCTCCATGTGAAAGGCAGGGCTTATAATTTTTCGATGTGTAGCCCATTTATCTCCTTCATAATTGACAAACCCCGGGAATAGCTTGTCAACGATTGGGTTCAACCTCGGTTTATGAAAATCCTTCATATTTGTTAAGGCTTCTCTAATCAACTCAGGGTTCGAGATGTTTATCATTGGTGTTGCACCAGCCCAAATGAAATAGTCCTGTCCTACATTAAAATCCAACAACCAATTCATCATTTCCTCATCATTCATTTCCAAAAATAATCTTCCTTAGCTTCACTCAATCTACATAAGACAATCTTAAAAGATTCGATCATAGATATATATAAAGTTGGGTATAATGAGAATTGAACTCCGAACCTCATGCTAGGTGGGAGTTTTACCATTGAGCTTTCACTCACTTACAACAAACTCCAACATTTCATAAATTTATCAAATTATAGGATCAATGTATTACTCTCTCTAATTATTTTAGTTGTTACAGTTTGAATTGTACGTTTATCATGCACAACTTTGAACATAAATATTTCTAATTACTTGTGAGTACATATATATATATATATATATATAAACATGTTTTGATAGGAAAAACTAACACTCGTAAAAAATAGAGGAAATACATACCAAAGTTGGTAACTAAATGATGACGAAGAGGGTCGACACGCAGAAAGTAAACATTGGAGAAGCCATTCATGGGGTTTTTCAAAGCTTGATTACACAAGAAGGAGTAATCTTTCATATCACCAAAGAATAGCTTGTAAGAAGTACCAGGTATACCCTGATTTCTTAACCATTTCTCTTGTTTCTTGGGTCTTAACCATACCCAATTCACCACTTTAATTATACTTGTTACAATTACTATACTTACTAATGAAATTAAGATGGAGATTAGTGTTGGGGTTTCCATTTTTTGATCTTTTTGCTGAATATTTTGTCAAATTAAAATTAAAGCTAATAATCAATGTATGAAAAAGAAAAGGCAGAGGAATTTTGTATTTTTACTAGTGAATTTTATTGTTGTTTTTCTAAGAATTGCTTAAATGAGAATAAAATAAATTATCTTATCATACTCTAGATGTAGGACATCAGTAGAAGGTGTAACAGGTGTTAGATATAATTGAACGGTACGCTTTGGTCAGAATTAGCTGCTAGCTCTGTCATCACTGATGTCCAACTTTGAAATCAAGGTATCTCGGAATTCCTAAAAGATTGTTGTATTTAGATTGATAGTATTGCCAATTATTGTAGGATACACAAAATATAATGATCCATACTCCAATGGTTATCGTTAAGAACTTGATTGCAATTTTAAATAGTCTCTAGGTATAAGCTTGATCATTTGAGGTAGAACATGCAATTAATTTGCTTGAAAAAAAAACTTGCCAAAAAGAAAATGTTAAAAGTAAATTAGTAATTAAGAATTTAAGATAAAGACAATAAATTAATGTTTTAAATAATAAGCTAAGCTAATAGCTAGTCATTGTGACTCAAACTAACTAGAAAGATAATAAACTTAAAAGCTTATTATGTGGCATATATGACAAGCTAATTTGTTAGCTTGCCATTAGAGTTGCTCTTAAATTCAATAATAATGATTTTGTGCACAAAATATAAGCACATTCCTACCAATGTAACAAGCAGCAAAGAATGTTGCTTCTTTGAGCCATTTTATGCAAGCTCACCAAGATATCGATCCGTTTATAGATAGTAAATTTTCTTTTTTTATTTATTCTGATAAGTTAGGGTATAGTCTTGAGAGAAGATTATCCTAAATTCTTGTTTACCTTTTCATTTTTTTTTTTTAAAAAAAAATCATTCTTTTATGGATGCCCAAAAAATGGAGCATACATAAAAGAATGAAGACATTTTAGATACACGACCTTGTTATTTTGGAAAAATGATTCACCATTAATATCATAATGGGCTTGTTTGACAATTGGCTTTTCATGTACCTTTTGGTTTTAAATGTGGTTAAACAGCAAATATATAAGTTTGGTTATTTGGATTTTTTGTTGGATTTTTAGATGTGAACTAGTAATGGCCCGGGCGATACTTCGTATTATCATAAAATTATAATTTTGATCAAAATTAAATTTAAAAGGTTAGCATTCAACAAAATTTATAAGTAAATAAAATATAATAATAATAAATTTAAGATTAATGGATGCTAGCTAGCTTTTATTCATTTTACGTGGCATAATGAAATACGAAGTAACACTTATGTAAATATCACTTTGTAAAATTGCTTAACTGGCATTAAATCTAGAAAATTAGCATTCGAAGGAATCAACAACCATAAGGAATCAATAACTTATTCATTAAAAAATTTAAAAAGCTCTTTTGATTAATTAATTAATTAAATAGTTTAAATAACAACCATAAACACATAATCGGAAAGAATAATAAAATTCAGGACAACAAGAAAAAGCACACAAGATTTTTACGTGGATAATCCCTATCAACAATAAGGAGAAACACGGTCCCGATCTCACGATCCGGATCGCGATTTTGACAACAATGGTCCAAAATAGATCAAAAGGTAAATTAAAAAAATCAAGTATTTTGAGGGGCCAAAAATCTTTATTGTTTCGTAATCATTAAAGTATTGATGTCTTGAAAACCCAGAAAATGAAAAATCCCAATATGAACTTTGTACGAAAGAACTGAAGGAAGCTAAGCTCAAACCTACATAACCTGCATCAAATTAAGATCAAATTCATGGTAAGTGAATTGGATGTTCCATGGTGGGTTTGCTTTGATATTGTAAACTCAAATATGCTTAACAACATAAGCAAAGAACAAGGCAGTACAAAGCAACGATTATTGATGAAGAGATTAAAGCAAACACAGCAACAACTATCCCTGCAATATCATGTATGATAAGGAATCAAAACTGATAATAATTGACCCTACTACTACAACATAGAATCAATATAAGATCTACATCCCAAGAATAACAAAAGGCCAATATTTGGACAACCCGTCTACTACCAACACGTGATAGCTTTTCATGTAAAGGATAATGGTTTGACTAAGTCAAAACATAGTTGATATTATGTAAAGTGTTTAGCAAGATTATAGTGGTGAGACTTAGCATTAGAAGTAGCAGTTTAGAGTGGTTGTCTATAAAACCACACCTTTGCAGCGAGTGAGATTTGAACCTGCCTTTTTTATTCTATTTTGGTAAAACAGACCCTATCCTACATATTCTTTTGGTAGTGCAATGGAGTAAATTGAAAGTCACAATAGCTTCATATTCATCATATTATACTTTCTCCTTATAGATTTAAATGTCATATTACTAGTTAAAATTACAATGTTTAGGAAACCAAGCTAACATAATCCTTGTAGATGTCCATGATGTTGAATAAAAGTAAAATCACGTTTGTTTATAAATTTAATATCCCCATATTCTTCAATAACCTACCTTGAATATTAATCTCCCTTCTCCACACTCTCAACAAGCAAACCCCAAACCCCAAGCAACAGAATGAATAATAGCTCAACCCTGATACGGGAGCCGTATATACAAAGAAGATATAAATAATACAAATTACCTAATTAATGAAAAGTCTGTTGTGTCCTTTAGATATAAACATATTATCCAGATACACCCCCTCAATCTGCACAGGATGAAATGACGGATGGAAATATTGCACTTGTGACGGAAAATAAATCATTAGTGAGGCATTTTGTAAGAATATCCACAACATGAAGTCAAGAAGGAATATGTCAACCCGCAACCACCCCTAGCAACCATCACGCTAACAAAATTATAAACATCTATATGCTTATTAAGTTATTAGTTACTACGGTCATGCTGTACAGGATTAGCAGTAAGATCTAGTTGTTTAGATCCTCTAACAGGTTAGCTAATATCAGTCGACATGTTTATTTCAGAACACAAATAGGTGAACTCAAGACAATGAGATTAGCAACCACATATTTGAAGAAATTTTATAAACTCAAATCTCAAAAAATAGGTGAACTCAATGCATTTTCCTCTGCATTATTATCTATATACAAGACCCAAACTTAGGATTTTGGAATTTGGATTTCATGCCACTGCCTCTGTATTCTATACACTTATAGCTTTGTTATCCAGGAATAATTATTTATACTCAAATCAAAGTTAAAACAAATTTAAAAGCAATTAAGAAAATATAATTTTCAGAACTGACCTGATGAACAATTATGGTTCTGAATCTATTCAAGATCGAGGCTCCCTCTTCTTCTTTCTTTTGGACAGAGCACTTTCAGCAAAATCTCAAGTTAACTATCGGGATTTCTCTTCACAATCTTCGGTTTTCATTGATTTATGTAATTGCTAACCCATTACTCCAGCAAAACTGCATATGTATGTGGTATAAAAATAAATAAATTAGAAGAAAACAAATCCTTTCACCCATGAAACCAACAAGTTAGACCTGCAAGACACTATGCCTACATGAAAAATCAAGGTTAACTTTAACATTCAAGAAAAAGAGAGATATAATGTCTAAAAACATTCAATGGAATTTTACTATCCTACATGAAAAAATCAAGGTTAACATTAACATTAAAGAAAAAGAGAAATATAATGTCTAAAAACATTCAATGGATTTTTAACTAATGTTTTAAACTCCACATTTCATGAAAAGTACCCATTTTTGGATACTCAATAGTTCTACAACAGGAACATACACTCAATGTTACACTTGAGAGAAAAAATAATTAATCATTTTCCAAAATTGGTGAGATACACTGGTTTCCATACACTTTTGTTGACTGATTTCTACACACAGAGTAGACTCCATATCACTAGGGAAAACTCAATACTTTACAACGTGGTTCATTTTTTGTTGGCACCTCATCCAATTAAGCCCAGGAATCTGGGTCTCAGTAATGAGTAGATGGGAGCAGAATCTTTTTCTTTTCACTTCCTCTTTCACAATGCTATAAGGCCTATAACTCCAGTTATAGAAATGGTTACAATTTGTGGTAATTTACACTTGTAGTTTCTCAGAATTTTTCTTTCTCGGAACTAAAACTTGAATTATGATGACCAGATTTACATCCAACCGAAAGATAGAACCCATTTAGTTACTTATTCAGATGACTGTTGAGTTATACAATGGACATTATATGTACGGGTGGTTCTAATTGACTCTGGACACAGCAGAGTATGCCTGGTGCTTCTGAATAGCTATTTTTTACACAGTTATTGAACCTCATGATATACTTTTTACATGCGTTAATTTTTCCACAGGTTGCTATCTTGTCTCAAACTTTACTTGAAACATCATCTCACAAATGCTTTCCAGTCTATGCTCTTGTGCCAAGAATTATTATAAATTTGCAGTTCAGTCACAGCGGTTACAAATTCATAATTTCTTACAGACTTTATTGATGGTGACTAAAGTAGAGCACAACTCAGCCATCCACATGATTGGCAAACAAGCACCTTACTGCATTTCAAAGTGTACTCAAAGTTCTACATAATCATCTTTGCCCAATTCTTACTAATATTAAGAACCCACCAAGCCACTTATATGCATGTTTCAATTTCTATGCTAAAACAGTACTTACATTCAGGCATTAACATTGTACATATCAACCACAAGTCCACCATCTATACTAAGTAACATAAGAGAGACTCTCAAAAGCTGATTCACAGGCTTACTGAAGTAAATTATAAGACATCTTACTCTGCCCCATTGTCTATCCTACAAATGTTTACTCTGTCTCATTGTCTATCCTACAAAAGTATTGCTCAGTTAATTATTGAAGACACAGTATCAGATTATTGGGCAAAATTGTTCCAAACATTCTTCATTAACTTAGTTTCCAAGGTAGTGCTACAGAGTAATTAGCAAAATTGAGCTTAGAAATAAAAATTGGCAGACAGAACTGAGAAACAGCCCAAAAACAAAAATTATTATAAAGCTTTTGTAACAAATGTGTTGTGGGATATAGCTAGCCAAACAGTAAGACAAACAACATCCAATAATATGACCTTGACAAAGCTTTAAAAACAAACAGCAAACAGCCTGTAGATAAAATGCATTACTATTACCTGTCATCATTCGGCATCTACCAGTTTATGTTGTAGTCTTTTTTATGCGAGTGAGGTCAAAGTTGTGCCTTAACATCCTTTGTGCAACACCAAGCTCTCCACATAAGTATCCAGATATGAACAACGAAAGTATTTCCTTTGTTGTACTTGATGACTCGTTATGTCATAAGACATCAGTTTGTTAAAGTCATGTATCAACAATGTACCAGTATTTTCAACATACAACATGTGCAAATTGTGCATTGAGCAACAATCAAAGAATCTATAGGCATCCAAATTAGAATCTCCAGAAGAAAATTGGCACCATGGCTCCTTTCCGTGATTCTTTTCAATCACCCATACACAAGCTCTTACGCGAGAAATACCAAAAACTGCTAATGACCCACCAAAGAGAAAAAGAAACTTGCGCATTTCCTCCCCAAAATCCGGCATCTTCAGAAAACTAAATTCCTCGGTATCTAAGTCAAAAGAAAGAAGATGAGTATCTTTCCCCGGGAATCCATAATAAGGTCTCCAGTACAATGCCCCTTGGGAGAAAACAGCCCCATTCCTCAACCTCATTAAACTAAAACACCACCTTGTAACATTTCTCCAGTCGGGTTTAACCCTCCAAACACGGCCACTAAGCGAATAAATTGCAATCTCAATCGACAACTCCGAAGCTTCGGCATCACCAAGCTCCACTGCCTCCAAAGCAACCACTTTATAATCCTTACTCAAAGGTGCAAATCCTAGATAATATCCAACATTACTAAACTTAATACATTTAAGAGGGCAATGGGGAAGTAACATGGTTTTCCTAATAGAAGGGTTCCACAAACTCAACTCTTTCGAATCCGAATCATGGAAAGTAAATCGCCCAATTAACATCAACCCATCAACCATAACACTTTCAAAATTCATTCGAGATTCTAAATTCGTATCAAGTTGAGCAATTTTTCTAATTGAATCACTCCGACGAATTATAAATTTGAAATCAGAAAATGTTTTGGGTATAGGTTCAACAGCTAAAATTCGAGGATTCTTGTAAAATTTGAGATGCATAGAAATGAAATCAGGAGAATCAATTAAAGAACACCAGGTTTTACAAACACACCTGAATTGTAAAAGGGTTTTCACCGGCGACCTGGCAAAGACCTCCCTCCATAAATCTGGGGTTAAATAGTGGTGTTCTTGCAATGGTTTTTGCCTTTTCCGACCCCACATTTTGAGCGATTTGCAGATTGGAGGATCAATGTAAAGAGGAAGAAGACGGACTGTTAGTTGATGGGGTTTTGCATTTGGGGTTTTCTAATTCGTACGAAGTATTTTCTCGTATTTTTTAATGAGATTTCTATTTTTTTAAAAAAATTGGCAAGTCGTCTTGTATATTGTGTTACTTCCTCGTCCCTTGGGTTTATTTTTTTGGTGTTGGGTTGTCGGGTTTGTTGAGGTTGGGTCGTGAGCTCATGGCTATCAGGCTACATTTTTTATTTTATTTTTTGAGAAAGGCTATTAGGCTACATAATGTCTAAGTTCAATATTTAAATTGATTTTGTTTAGGATTTTTTTTTTTTTGATACATTGTAACCATAATTTTTTAGTGTTATATACTTTCTTCTATACAATATTTTTTTTTTCAGGATTGGCGATGTATTATTTTAAAATTATAAAATATAACTAAAATAGTATAAATTGAGATGGATATAACAAGATATCACATCACTATATTTTTGCTTAGATATAAAACATCATAGCTAGTCTAATTGTTGCAAGTACTTAAAAAAAAAAAAAAAAAAAAAAAACATTTGACAAATTATCACATTTTAACATAAATATATTTTTTTTGTCGGTTATTGTATTCCCCACTCGAATATACTAAGCCTCCATTGTTGAAATTTAGAGGGATTTCCATTGATTTTTACATTTTAGTAGTGAAACTTCAATGTTGTTTTTTGTGCGTCGTTTATCTTTGTTTTTGTTATAATAATTCTTTTTCTAAAAGAAACATAATTTTGTTATCTTTGTTTTTGTTATACATGGGATGTTGGACTTTTTTTTACTTGTATATTAGGAAATTTTTACTTTTGTTACCACTAAAACACCCCTATTTCATTTTTGCTACCCATTTAGGATTTTATTTTATTTTGCTACCACCTAAAATCACATAATTTAAATTTCATTACGGTTCCGTTAAGTTTATTCAAAAAATGAAAAAAAAAATAAAAAAATAAAAATAAAAAAACCTAACCACCCTCAACTGCCCAGCCCCCTCCCGTCAGCCAGCCTACCCCTCCCCCCTGCCGGCGCCCGGCGCCCTAAGCTTCGGCCAACGCCGGTGATCCCACCCCAATCCCTTTGCCCCACTTACACAGCCACCCCCCCTCCCTTTTCCCCTTCTTGCTGCACCGACCCCCACTCCGAACCGGAAACCACCCCCTCTCCCCATTCGCCCCACCGGAATCGACCCCCTCCCCATTCCCCCACCGGAATCGAAACCCCTCCCCATTCCCCCACCGGAATCGACCCCCCTCCTCGTCCCCCACCCAAAAATCGGCACCTTTAACCCTAAACCACCAGCCCGAAACCACCCTAAACACCCGAAATCCCAATTGTAAATTCCCAATTTTCTGCTTATCCAAACATCCCAATTTCCACCATTATTACCATACTCTCTTCGATTCTTCTTCCATCACTATATTCAGTAACCCTCTCATTCTGCAAAACGCACAATTGCCCGTCTTCTTCCTCGTACAGTGATCCTCCATTCTGCAAATCGCTCAAAATGAGGTATTTAGCCCCTGATTAATGGAGGGAGGTCTTGCTTAGGTATTCGGTCCAAACCCTTTTACGATTCAGGTGTGTTTGTAAAACCTGGTGTTCTTTCATTGATTCCCCTGATTTCATTTCTACGCATCTCAAAATTTTCCAGAATAATCGTGCAAATACTTATTTATTAACCGTTGGATATAAACCCAAAACAGAACTTGATTTCTATTTCACAATTCGTCGCAGTGATACAATTAGACAAACTGCTCAGTTAGTCAAGATTATGGATTTGATATTGTTTGTTGCAAGTGATCTGATTGATGGGTTGTTGATGATCCACTGCTGTGATCCGATCCATTTCATTCCTAGAGAGATGAGGTTGTGGAACCCTTCTATTAGGAAATCCGTGATACTTCCTCATTGCCCGTTTAAATTTAAAATAAAGGATGATAGACGTTTTTATACAGGATTTGATTCTTCTGCTAATGATTATAAAGTGATTGTTTTTAAGCTTGGTGATTATAAAGCTTCCGAGCTGTCAGTTGCATTTGCAATTTATTCTCTTCGTGATCATCGTTGGAGAGTTAAACCCAACAGGATAAATGTTCCCAAGTGTTGGTTTGAATTAATTCGGTCCCGATATGGGACTGTTTTCTGCCAAGGGGCCTTGTACTGGAGACCATATATTAGGTTTTCTGGAGAATATGGTCATCTTCTTTCTTTTGACTTAGATGCCAAGGAATTTAGTTATGTGAAGATGCCAGATATTGAGGAAGATATGCTCAGGTTTATTTCCTCCTAGGGGGGTCATTAGCACGTTTGGGTCATTAGCACTTATGGGTATTTCTCGTATAAGAGCTTGTGTATGGGTAATGGAAAAGAATGCTGGAATTGAGCTCTGGACACAATTTTCTTCAGGAGATACTAAATTAGATGCCTATGAATTTTTTGATGGTTGCGTAGGTCATAAGATGCAGACTATTTTTTTTTTTTTGTTTTTTGAAGGAAAGATGCATAAATTGTGAATAGTAGTGTTAGTTACATCACCAGAAGTAGAGGCTGGGACATCACCAGCAAAATAAAAGTTATGGTTTACAAGTTCTGAGCAACGCTCACTTTCAAAAGCTACACTACAAGCGGGAGGAGGATGATACAAAAGACAGGTTTGGTGCATAGCCTCCGAGTTACATCTTGCATCTTTCGCAACTAAGTCCACTACTACATTACATGTTCGCTCCTCAAAGCGCAATTCCAGATGATGAAGCTCCCTTAGCAGGTCCCTGCAGTTTTTAATTAAATTAGGCACATTAGCTAGAGTTAGATCAATGGTTATATCAGCTACTGCCCTCTTTGAATCAGAGCAGAGAATAACTTTTTCCCAGCCTTTCTGCTTGGCCCAGAGCATACTCAATGTAATGCTTTGAGTTCAGCTTCATGACTGGAAGAGCAATAGCTTCTCCAAGTGAATCCCTCAATCCACTCTCCTAAGTGGTTTCTGCAAATAGCACCCACACCAACTTCTTTGGTAACCTGAATGAAGGATGCATCACAGTTTATTTTTAGATAGGGAAAGGTGGGAGGAGACCAGGCAGCAGGAGAGGGCTTTAGACTTTCTGAGTTACAGCTGGAGAAGTAGCACTCAGAAGCAGCCCAAATGCACTAGCGGACAGCTTGTTTAATTGGAGAATTTTTCTTGTTAAAGATCCATGTGTTCCTTCTTAGCCATATATGCCAAAGAATGAATGAGAATAGGGTATTCCAAGGGATAGCATTTAAGTTAGCTGCTGTGTGCTTGAGGTTTTGTTGAAACCAGGACTGCCAAGATGAAGATGAGCTAAAAGGGATTGGGGAAGGGATTAATTCCCAGAGTTCTTTTGCTCGGGAGCATTAGACAAATAGGTGAAGGTTTGACTCCTCATAGATGGGGCAGAAGGGGCAAAAAGGTTGAAGATGGGGTAATCTTTGATGGAGGTTTTGGTTTTTTGCTATCCTGTTCCAAGCAAGTTGCCAAAGGAACATTCTGATCTTAGGGTAAGACTGAAGTTTCCATATATTTCCCCAATTGAAGCATGGGTTTTTATATTTGGTGAGCTCCAATAGGCCTGTTCTTGCTTTTGAAGAATCAAATTTTCCTTTATAAGTCCAGCTAGAGTAGGCACTATCCGGGGAATCAGTCAGAGAAACAGATTTCAAAAGCTCAAAGAGAGAGTCATTGATTTGGAAGGAGAGGAGAAGCTCAAGTTGCAATTTTGACTGAATTCGGGAGAGGCATTGAGAAAGGTCAAGGGAGAGTTTATCACAAGGGATGGGTCCTCTGAGGGTTTTGTTCAAAAGCCATCTATCTTCCCAAATATTGATAGTCTTCCCATCTCCCACATCCCACATTAAGCTCATCTCGAGTAATTTCCAAGCTATTCCTATGCCCTTCCAAACAAAGGAACCTTTGTTGAAAGGTGTAGGATACCTTTTATTCTCAATATACTTCTCCCTAAGCAACTTTGCTGCCCACCCTTTGTTATTATATAATGACCAGCAAAGTTTAGTTAGGGAGATAGTGTTGATGTGGTCATGCTTGGTAAAACCAAGCCCCCCTTTAGCTTTGGGCCGACAAATGTTAGCGAAAGAAATCCAGCTCATCTGTCTTCCCTCTCCTGAGTTTACCCAAAAGAAATTAGAACAAATAGAGTCTAATTTTTTACATAGAAACTGTGGGAAAGGAAGCACTTGCATATAGTATCTAGGGATCGATTGGAAAGTAGATTGTATAAGAATAGCTTTTCCTGCCTTGGTTAGCAGTTTAGCTTTCCATGATGCAAGTCTACTTCCAACTCGATCAATGAGGAATTGGAGGTTTCTTTTGGTGTGTTTTTTATTTGACAAAGGAAACCCCAGATACTTGCCAAGGTCAGGGGTAGTAGTTATATTAAGTTCATGCTCGAATTCATCAATCATTGACTGGGGTGTGTTTTTTGAAAACAAGATGGAGCTTTTTTGTTCATTCAATTTCTGGCCCGACATGTTAAAGAAGTTGGTAAGAGTGTTGGAGAGGGAGAGCAGGGTTTTGTGGTTGGTTTGGCCAAAGAGAAGGACATCGTCCGCAAAGAGGAGATGAGATATGAAAGTTTTCCCCCCTGAATCTGAATGGGCCCCAATGCTTATCCTCACACTGTTTATGAATCATTCTGGATAAATATTCCATGCAGATTATAAACAAATATGGTGAAAAAGGGTCACCTTGTCTCAAGCCCCGGGAAGGAGGGAAGGAATCAGAAAGCTTTCCATTAATGAGAATGGAAGAAGAGACCGATGAGACACAGCTCATGATAAGGTCAACAGATTCTTGGTCAAAGTTAAAATAGAGGAGGCAGTGGTGAATGAACGTCCACTCCATTCTGTTGTAGGCTTTTTCCAAGTCTATTTTCAAGGCAAACAATCCCTTTCTTCCTTTTTTCTTTTTTTCCATGGAGTGAATTATTTCAGATGCAATGATAAAGTTAATATCAGTGCCCCTCTCTGGCAAAAAACTGTTTTGATTGGTGGAGATAATCGAATCAAGTCTTGGTCTTATTCTGTTTACAAGAATCTTAGATAGAAATTTGTAACAAGAATTAACCAGACTAATGGGTCTGAAGCTGGTGATTTTAGTAGG